TGTATCGTGCTTTTTGTGCAGGGCTGGCGACCGGCTCTCTCTGGCCGTCCCGACAGCTGAGGGGCAGCACCTGGGATCCCCAAAGCCGCCTCCCTCGGGCCCCACGAGGACACCAGATAGATCTGTCCGTTAAAAACTGAGTTGTAAATTCGTTTTTTGTTGTGTGTCAAGCTCTTTAAATAGAAGTGTTTATAGCTCCGGCCTAAAAGATCATACACTCATTTTTAGTTTGTTTGTATTTTTAGAACAGAATTTTCTCTGTCAGATCAACGATAAAAAAAGCAAATTGAGTGAAGTCCGTTGAAAAGGGTTTTCGTTGCATGTTTTTTAATTTCTGATTTTCTGTGTGCTGATGTGTAGCAGCCAGCGCTTCCCCTTTTCGGGGGGCTGACTAAACCCTGACACCTGGGCCTCCGAGGCCGGGGTGAGCTGTGTATTTTTATCTCACTTACTGATTCTGAGAGGTGTCTCTGGCTCACCAGCGAGGGGAGGAGAGCACAAGTCACCCCTAAAGTCACGTACCTAACACTTGTGGTCACATGCCCCCCTCCGGCATCTGTGGGGAGCGTCTGGGAAGATGGGGCGGCTTTGGGGTGCCCGTCCCTGGTGGGGGCTGCCGCACACTTGGCTTCTTTCTTAGTCCTTGGAGATTGCCTCAGTGTTTTATAAAGAGCAAAGGGCGTCTCTGTTATTTCGAGCGGCGGGGCCCTGCGGGAGGCGCCCCAGGGGCCCCGGGCGGTGACCGCCCTTGCGTCCCTCCCTGATGTGTGCCAGGCCCGCCTTTATGGACGAGTACGAGAAGATTGAGGAAGAGCTGCAAAAGCAGTATGACGTGTATTTGGAGAAATTCCGCAACCTGACTTACCTGGAGCAGCAGCTCGAGGACCATCACCGGCTGGAGCAGGAGCGGTTCGAGGTGGGCGCAGGGCCCCCCCCCCCAGGCTGGCGCTGCAGGACTCCCCCCACCAGGCCAGGCATTGTGCCGTGGTGCCCCGGGCCACGCGTCGCTGGTCCTCCTCCTGGGGGCATGTGGAGGGGCGCGGGGAGGCCCTGACCTGCCCCAATGCACCCCAGGAGAAGAGAAAGAGGCAGGCGGAGATCGAGAACACCCGGCGGCAGCTGGAGGACGACCGGAGGCAGCTGCAGCACCTGAAGGTACCTGCGGCCGGAGAAGGGAGAGGGCCGGGCCTCCCCGCCCCCGCCCGGCTCCACGCTGACCGTGCCCTCGCCCCTGCGCCCAGTCCAAGGCCTTGCGGGAGCGGTGGCTGCTCGAGGGGACGCCGTCCTCGGCCTCGGACGGGGATGAGGACATGCGGAGACAGATGCAGGAGGACCAGCAGAAGGC